CTAAAGGGATTAAAGCAATTACTCTTACGAATTTATTAGGAATTGAACGTAAAATTGCATAGGATAAAGGAAACTATCATTCTGGTTGAATAGGAGTTACTAATGGATTAACTGAAATAAAATTATCTGGATCACATAATATATAAGAATTTATTAAAGGTAATTGGAGTACAGTATTCATTTGGAAAGCCAATAAAAATACTCCCACTGTTATACTTTCAATTTATGTCGCATTATTTTTGAAGCGTCTCTTCCTTTTCCATAATCAATCTTTAAAGTACACTGCTATTTAAAATCCCTATCTATCATGTTCTTTTGAATATCACTTATTCCAAAATGTGAAAATGTTTTATATATTTTAAAAATTTATTGTTTAATATATTTAAAGTTTATAAAAGGTGGATATAAATGAGGTCGATATTAACTAGATTAGTTTTTATAAAAATTATCTCATTAACTGAAAGAAATTTTACTTCATAAAGATATGAAATGAAATTCATATTCATTTTAATTAAATTATCTGATTATTTATTATCAGATATATTTTCTGAATTATTTTATAATTATTTGTAAATAAAAATATTATTTTCTAATACCTTTAGTCTTGTCTAGATTAAAATTTTTTTTTTTTATTTTAAAGATTATGAACACAAAGTGATGAGTTGTTTGGGTTTAATAATGCCACTGTTCCAATTTTTTTCTTTAATTAAACTCATAAACTTTTTATATATATTTACGATTTTCTCAAGGATATTTGTTGTGTAATAATGAAAATCAGTTTTTTGATTTCGAACAATGCTATACATCGTGTCTAGATACTGAATTATGCAATCTCTTTTACAATATTGTCAACAAAAGGGCACTACAAAGTTCAAACAGTAACCCAAATTACATAGATATTTTTAAATGATATAATTTGTATCTATTTTAAATGCGGTGGTAGTGAAGTAATAAAATAAAAATTATTAAAAATTATAGGTCAACATAACCAATTCATATGCTACAGATGACTGTTTGTATATATAAATAAGAAAATGAAACGATGATGATTAGTCCAAAATAAAAAGAAATTAATTTATTTATTTAATATCAATTTTTTTTTGTCGAAACTGACGCATTTTATGGTGTAAAGAAACTATTTAAAAGAATTCTTCTAGTTCAACTAGAAATTAAAAGACAACAACAAAGACATTTAGTTAACTTATTGAAGTTCGGCTGACCACACAACGCTGTTTTGAGTATTACCAAGTACTCATCATCCATGGTTTTAGGAAATATTTCATATATTTTTAATATATTTTTTAAATTAGTTAATAGTCCGTTTATTGTCTGGATATAATTATAATTGGTGTCTGTCAAATTAGAAGCGATCTATTTAATATAATTAAATAATATAATTAAATATATATAAATAAAATAAAATAAAATAAATAAAATAAAATAAAATAAAATAAAATAAAATAAAATAAAATAAAATAAAATAAAATAAAATAAAATAAAATAAAATAAAATAAAATAAAATATATAAAATATTTTACTACCGATTAAATCAAATAAAATAATTATCTCAGTAACAAACAAGTAGCAAGCGCCATCATTGGGCGTAGCAAGCGTGATGTTACAGCTGCTTTTGCCGCTATCGAAAAGGAATCTGCAAGAATGGGTTTAGCGGTGAATGAGGGAAAAACGAAGTATATGTCGGCTACTGGTAACGAACACAAATGATGTCAGTCTGGAGATCAGACGAAGAATCACCATTGCTAATAGGTGCTACTATGGGCTCAGTAGGCAATTGGGATGTAGAGCCCTCTCTCGACAAACGAAACTTACGCTCTATAGGTCGCTCATCCTCCCTGTGCTTCTGTATGGCGCAAAAGCATGGACGTTATCACAGAATGATGAAGCAGCACTGGGAGTGTTCGAGAGAAAAGTTCTTCGTAAGATCTTTGGTCCTCTACGAGTTGGCGACGACTACCGCATTAGAATGAACCACGAGCTGTACGAGCTTTATCACGACATTGATGTAATTCAGCGCATTAACATCCAGCGGCTTCGCTGGCTTGGTCATGTCGTGAGAATGGATGAAGACGCTCCGGCGAAAAAGGTGTTTGAAGCAGTAGTCGGCG